AAAGTACGGCAGGATGGACGTGCGGGGGCCGTGATACACCATGTACCCTTCGTTGAGCATGAGGATGTCGTCGAATTGCTCGACCACTTCGGGGGTGGGCTGCAAGAGGGCGATCACCACTGTGCCACCCAACGTCTTGCACCACGTGCGCAAAGACGTGACGATGTCAAACGTCGCCGCACTGTCGAGCCCGGTACTGATTTCGTCGCACAAGAACACGCTTTGGCCGCCCACGAGCATCTCACCCACTGTCACGCGCTTACGTTCGCCTCCACTGCACCCACGGAGAAGCGCATCGCCCACGACCGTCTCGGCGCAGTTGGACAGCCCCAACAACTGGATGATCATTTCCGTGCGAAGCTTGGCCACTTCCTGCAGCTCTTCTGGCTGGCTTTCTGGGGGTCCGTTCAAGCACATGTCGGCGAACTTGAACGTCTCGCGCACCGTCAACGTCGGCGCGTGGTTGTCTCGCTGGTCGACCAGCCCCACGATCTTCTTGGTGTCGATGTCCGACGTCTTCAAGCCGCTGAATGTGATGTCGCCGCCTTGGGCGCACTTTTTGTTCTGGTCCAGCTTACCAGCCAACGCCTTCAAGAAAGTCGACTTGCCCGACCCAGGGTTGGCCAGGATGAGCGTCATGCTGCCAGGCTTGATGATACCGCTCATGGGCTGCAGCACCACCTGCTCCTTGTACACGGCTTGCTTGAACGGGGTGAACATGCGACCGACGTACGACCCGACCGTGCCCTGCTTCTCGGCCAACGTCATTTGACGCGCCTGAACAACGTAGTTCAAGTTCTCGAAGCGGACTTCGGGGGTCGCCAAGTGGAGGTTGACCTTGCTGGACAAAGCGCGGTACTTTTCGTAGAATCGGTCCAACCCGCCGGCTAGCATGGACTCGACGCCGTTCCCAGCATGGATCGTACTGTACATGCTGTGTCGAGGGGACTGCACCGACCGGTACGCGTCTTGCACGCTCTTCATGTTGACAGACTTGTACGATTCCGGCAGTTGGTCTTCATCGTCAAGAAGAGGCTTCTTTTTGTCGAACGCTGACATGCTGATCGATCAAGCAAAAATGAGAATGAAAAGTTGGAAGTCGAATCGCGGTTTGATATGGGGGGACTTTTTAGTGTAATGGGGGCCCAAAGCTCCCCTGGTTTCCCCAGAGATCCAAGCATTTGGCTTTCTACCATATAATTAATACTACCCATTTATATACTACTATAAAAGAGCAGCATTTATTTATAATACCGGTAGAGAGAACCAATGTAATATGTATTTTTCGCCTGTAGTACTACGTTATTTGGTGGATACGACAGTATACTACGGTACGTAGTTGCATTGATTTCAGTAGTGGAAGTGGAGGGTATGTAGGCCACCAGTGCCACAAGACGGTAGACATTGTGTTAGTTTGGTATGAGCCTCTCATCGATTGATCATAGGCCGAGTGTATGTATTCCTTGCATATATACTAACTAGAATACTATGATGAAAAACTCGATTGTTTTACCAGCCATACAACATGTGTGGTCACAGCGTCACCCGACACATTCCGCTCTTCGGACGGTGCCTGTACGTCGGAACGTTCTAGTATTACTAAGTTGTAACCCGGGGCTACTAGAAGGTGAGACACGTACTGTTAGTAAGCAACAGTAGGAACGATGCGGCCCATGAAGTTGAAGAGCTGGTGTGACATCATTTGTATTAATGCTTGCTAACCTGAGACCGAACACTCGGGGCGTCAAAATAGACGCAATTCACCAAATATACCTTGTGATTTGTATACTGAAAAACATCCATCGAAGTTTCCGTGGTCGCATCTATTTATATTGACCAGATTGGAGCGCCAAACGATGTCTCAAGATGCCAAACATAAGTCACTTACAGTACAGTACGCACTGTACCTGCGCCACTGTGTTAAGCCTACTACATAGTACTAAGTAGTACTAAGTTGTACTAAGTTGTACTCCCGAGTACTAGGAAGGACGTAAGGACGTACATACTGTAGGTTGTTGAAAGGACAAGAACGCTAACTCACAGAGTAAGACTGACGAAAAGCAGCAAAAACTGCAGCGTTTAGAGCATCGTTCGTGTGCAAATTGCTCTTGGACTAGGAATACACTGCAACCACGCGTTCACAACGTTGCAAAGGGGATGTGACGGTCTGACGGCCAAACTGAGCTCACGCCAATTGGAGTGTTGCTCACCATTACAAAATAATGTGCAATATGGTTACAAGACCGGAACGTCACTACACATTCCGACGTTGTTGTGAATCACTGTCCAAAATTTACGTGGCGGGCTTACAGTGGAACTGTTTTAATGAGGGAATCGTACGCTGGTTGGTGTTGAGCGTCGTCAGCACCAACACTGGCGACACCACAAAGCCATGTCGGCTTTGTACTGAGCACTCATACCTGTACAGTAGTACTGAACCGTACAGTGCCACATGAGTTATCAGCTTGAGTTCCGGGTACAATCACAAAGCTAACGCTAAGTCTGCAATTGATTGCAAGTTTGCCCGTCAAATGGCTCGTTCCTGGCCTGCGGTGTAGCACTCGGCGCAGCATCACACTGGACTGCATGCTGTCGCTTCGTAGGCAGGCACTTTGCCAGCGCAAAGGGGCGGCCTATCCACCTCATTGCCACAACGTCCGCCGACCACATTCGCACGTGCGTCCTCGTGCTGCTCTGCCACGAAACTTTCGGTGGCAGTTGCGGACACACAGTGTACTTAACGTTACTTCAACAATTAGGTCTTGGTTATGTGCACAATTGCACGACGAATTACTTTGCTCAATTTCGGTGGGGCATCCTACTTGACCGCGACAAAACCATGGCCCAAGTAGGCATCTCGCGTATGTGCATTTTCAAAAAGTCGAACGTTAGCAGTAAGTGTATGTAGTTTTAGGACGTGTTGGATACACTGTACTGGTTCGCTTGAGCTTTGTTCCCCCTTCCGTTGTGTTCATGGCTACAATAACGTCAAAAGGAATGGACTCACGTCAATATACACATCAACGGTGGTGAGGACACCCTTCGTTGCGAGGTCGATTCGACGACGAGAGACCGCAACAACCAGTGTCGACATAACATCGACGAACGACCAAGGGTAGAGACCCTTTGAAGTGCATGGCTTCTCGGCTTTTCAATCACAGCTCCTACGGGGCATGCCCACCCCCAATAACGTTATCGTATAAGTACACGTTCAAGGTACTGGCATTGGACTTGAGCATCTTCTTCCATGGTATGATTCCGAAATGACGCAGTTCGTCCTCTTCCTTGCCTTTGTTTTTTCATGCATGTCGTTTGTCGGTACTTTGGCCTGTCCAGCCACTTTTCATCACATTCTTATCGCGGCAAGGTTGTAGAGCCTCACGTTAACGCACCGGTCATGGTGATTTGCATCCTAATCTCGACGGGCAAGTACTGAATTAACACGGGGCAGTCGGTCTTCCTGTAATGAAAATGTGTGCCCTGATCAAACCCCACAGTCGACAACCACTAGGCGCGGTCATTTCGATCTTGAGTGAGTCCTGGGTCATCACACTGGGGACCCAAGAGTTTCATTCGAATATGCACTTGAGTTAACGTCCATGAACGTGTCAAGTTGTCGAAGGACTTTTCATTAATCATGTTGAACATGTATTACACGGGGCTTGTACACATGCAAAGCCAGTGCTACGGTATCCAGGGCGGAAAGCAACGCCTTAACCTTAGTCGAGGTAGGTGCGAGATGGGAGTGGCCGGAGAGGGAGGTGAAATTCTGAGAGGCGTCCATAGCCCCCAGGTGAAACGACGATTATTGGAACGTACGGCCATCGTTCGTGCTATGAGTAGAGGGTAAAAAGGTCCCTATGGTCAACGTGTGGACTGGTAGCACTGTACATTCGGTAGACGAGCCGACTGCCAGGATGTAAGGCGAGGAGGGAGAAGACCACTTTGGTGGCGAGGTAGGCCTTGTATCGATAACCGACCCCGCAGGCCCACACAATGCACAACACCTCGCGTGAAAAGAAGTGCTGGTAGATATAGTAGACTAACGTCCACGTTTAATCCAGCGAGGTCACGAATCGTGACCTCGACGGGGTTGCCTACGAATTCTTCGAAGTATGGTTTTCACGTGACAGCGGATGAACCCGAAGCCCTCGGGACGTCCACGTCATGGGTTTACTTCCTCACGCGGTTATATCGGATTGCTTCAGGTGGTCAATCTCTTCAACCTGTACGACCATGACATGCAGCCGTTGACGCGGTCGTTCGTGGTCAGACGGGATAAATAGTACACATTGAATTCAATATGACGTGGGTTGCCGCGGGGCGAATCCTCAACGAGCACAATAACTCCCATGCGCATTGGGGTGGGTCCATGGCACTCTTGACTACTGTAGCTGTGGCCTGCAAAGGGGGAGGCGTGGCAGGCTTGACTACAGTAGCTGTGGCCTGCTTTGTGCCTCTGGTAGCTCAACACTTGATTAATTTCACGTCGGAATGGTGTGAGTACTGTAGTTGCTAAGTATCAAAGTCCAAGTGCGTTTCATTTCCATACTAAAACTTGACTTGCAGTTATAGTTTTGTCCTTTGGGATGTAACGGTTGTGACCTTTCAAGATCGCGTCGCCCTTGGAAACGTGACCTCTAAAATGTAATGTCGATGAAATACACTCTATCTTTTAATTCTTCGATTTGGCTTGCACGACGTGCATGTTTCCTCCGGCGCCGCAGTCTCATGTGGTGCTCGCGATGACCAAAGATGATGTCTACGTTCACCAGTTCCATCGCGCTCTGAACGATGTCGTGGAGAAGTTGAAGTTGTGGGGTCGCTCCGATGCTTCCGTTGGTGGGTTGCATGTGGACCCCGAACTCACACTCGTGTCCAAACTAGTGTATTACCTGCTCACCGGTACTACATCCGCATCGACTCCTTCATCTGCTTCCTCATCCCTCACCACTCCCTTCCTAAAGGGACTCAGTCTATGGGAGAAGAGTACTGTGAAATCTACCCCGTGCAGCATGACCCAGAGTCGCCCAATGTCGTTGGCATCGTGTCCAAGTTGGCGTGGGTCGTCCTTGAAACCGTTGTGCCGTATGTGAAACAACGAGCGGCGTTGGGATGGACACAGCTGCGACCAGGGGAGCAAGAGCAGCGTCTTCAAGAGGCACGGACACGGGCAAGGGAACAAATGCTCCTGCGTCGTCAAGGCCACACCCTCATCTTCTCCGAAGCCTCCAACGACAGCAGGTTCGCGTCGTCCGTAACCCTCCCAATATCGACCATACTCCTTGTAGTCGAAGGCAGCAACTGGAAGGATACGACACGTTCGGTGCATGCTTGAGCGCGTTCGATGCGTGGTCGAAGCTCACCAAGGACACGATCAAGCGGTGGGAGGACCGGCTAGGTGTCGACGTCCCCGCGGCGGTGTCGGGCCTTCTACAGCTCCACGTGGCGTTGTTCTTTCTGCGCGGCACCTACCTCCATCTGTCGAAACGCATGGCCGGAATTCGGTACATCTTGAGCTACCGCCCCTCCCCGAACACCTCGTTTGCACAATTCTCGATCCTGGTACCACCCCCCACCATGACGACTTGCCTCTCCAACAAATCAGCTTACCCGAGGTTCCTCTAGGGCTACATGATCTTGATTCGAGCGGCCCTCACTGCTTCCTTCACCTTGCCTACCATCGTCCGAGCCGTCATGGGCACGAGACTCGCGCCCCCATCAGCCGCCTCCACCCACCGCGTCCCTTGCCTCGCAGTCCCCATAACCCCGAACCCCCCACCGCGACAACTCCCTTCCTCATCGCCCCAACGCATTAAGAAATGCGCGCTGTGCCTCGCCGAGCGCAGCCATCCTTCGGCGACGCCCTGCGGCCACTTGTTTTGCTGGGACTGCATCGTCGGGTGGTGCCAGAGCAAGCCGGAATGCCCGCTCTGTCGGCAACTCGTACTGCCTCAGGACATCAAGTGTTTGTACAACTACCCGTAAACTCTAGTATAGATATCCAATCGATCGGTTACTACTTCCGAGCCCGTTTCTTGGGTGGGGTGTCTGTTGTGGACTTGGCGGCAGTGCTAGATGCCTTGTTCTTCTTCGTTGAAGGAGGCTTCTTGGCCGAGTCGGCAGCTTTGACGTCGGTCGTGGCGGCGGCAGCTTCAGCATACACTTGATCCGAAGACAACGCATGGTTGATGAACCGCCCGGCGGCTTCGGCGTCCACGCGGATCTGGCGGCCTTTGGCTAAAGCAGCAGCAGCAGCAATGTCGTCATATTTTGGAGCGCAATGGCGTGAATATATGCAGCTCGCTTGCGTACCCATCTCTTCCGAGTACTTGATCTTTTGAATGTAACCCTTGACACGATCCAGTTCCTGCTTGACTTGTGTCTGCCGCCCGTCCTTGGACGACACTCCTTGGACTTTCAAAAGCACTGCAAGCAAGAATCATCAGGCGTCATGGAGGTACCTACTACACGGAGAGGACGGCTATGTACGAACCGTATAGCAGGGCGTTGATCGAATACGCTATAGAACACATAACCCAACATGAACAATCATGATTCGTCTTCTCGTTGGGAGTCGTGCATGTACCTAGACCGACTTGGACCTTTGCCTTGTCGATGGGAGCCAACTCCGTCGTCAGTTCGTCAACGGGCTTGGTGGTCAGCACGTCCAAGTACTCTTCCACAGCTCCCAGCGCATTGTCCAAGTTCTCGAGGCGGCTGTCCATGCTGATACTGCCGATTGGGTTGCAATTCCGGGTTGTCCAATCCTTTGGAGGTGTTCACGTTAACCGGTCCTCTAAACCCTGGTTCAGCTACCTCAAACTGAAACTCAATGTTATGTGAACCGATCTTTGATTGTAAAAGCGTTATTGATCTGAAACTCAATTGCATCCTAAACAAACTCAAAACGATATGGCATACAAATATCAAGATATATTTTGCAGCTCCATCTGATGTCAGTTTTGGGCTATGTCATCATGGGGTTCAAGCACAAGTTCGACTTGGAGAAGCAGGTCACGTTCTACATGTCTTACCACAGCGACCCGACCAACAAAACCCTCCATCTCCTATGCATCTGGCCCATCCTTCTCTCTGCCATCTTCCTTCTCTGCACCACGGCTCCGTTCGTCGACGTCGCACAGGCGCTCCACCCATATGTAGTCGCCAATGCTGCTCTCGTCGGGGTTTTGATTTACGTCTTGTGGTACATCGTGCTGGATCCATATGCCGGCACCCTTGCAGCCGCTCTCATTGTTTCCATGTACGTGTGGTCGAATGTTGTCATTGCCGACGCCGTTGCCGCAACTGGCGAGTCACCGTGGCGCCTTGCCCTGGGAATCCACGTAACGGCATGGATTATCCAATTCATCGGCCATGGCGTATTTGAAAAGCGAGCCCCCGCCCTTCTCGATGCGTGGGATCAAGCCATCATCACCGCCCCGCTGTTCGTGCTCCTGGAAGTGCTGTGGGTGTTTGGGTACCGCCGGGAGATGCAGGCTCGCATTGAGGCCCAAGTCGCTGTGAACGTGGCGACGTTCAAGCGAGAGCGAGCGCAGCGACTCAAGGCAAGCAAGACCGCTTAAGTGTTTGTTTTGATATTGATTGCATCTTGTAGAACAGGTATCCAACCTTGACGTGGACCATCATTTGTGCATATCACAGTATTTGAAGTTAATTGGCCTAGACATAAAAAGCACATACAGAGAGTTTGATAATATAATGAAAATATACGGAAGGTACAGTAATAATTGTCGACGATCGTTCGACGAATATACATGACAATCACTCAGACGGTCTTGTTTTTGTTACCTTTGAACTGACATAACACGTCCATGATGGCCATCCAGTAGCTCCAAGCGCTGTGGATCTTGAAGGGCCGTGCGGCATTCTTCCGCCCAGACATTGGCAGGCTTGTTGCGAAGATTCAGCGACGATGGTGACGCAACTGTATTCATCTTCATGTCCTTCCGTGGCGCAACAGACTCTCGTGAGTCAGCAACAGCCATACTTAGCCACGGGCCGAACGTGGCTGTTATGGTGTGCATGTGGTGGTGGCTCTGTGGCGTTTAAGCTGTGGGAAATGGTTGGTCTGGACGAGGCCACCCATCTCGTTCTCGTGAGCAAGCGAACGCAAATGGTTGCAACCTGCGACTTCCTGTGCCCTTCGTGCGATGTTACGACCAACGTCTTGCCTCCTTTCACCGGCGCCAGTGGTGGCACCACTGCTATCTCACCCGCGCAACGAGACTTGTTGGAAAGATTCTGCAACTACGAGCTATCTATCGCAGTATGACCTGTGGCTGCACTTGGACCACGTGCGTCACGACAGGCTGCTTGAAATGCTGTCACTACACATCGAAGGCATCGAGCGACGCATGTGCATGTTCCTGCGCACATCATTCGGTCGTATCCGCTTCTTACCACGCCGTGCAGCAACGCCAACGTGTGTCGATGCAAGTCGCGTGGACATCACGAGCAAGTGTCGTGCGCGGCAACACTGGAGGCGCTCACCCATCAAGACGACTTGGGTCAGTGTCCGCATTGCTTGATGGCCGTTGTCATGGGCGACGGATGTAGCCTAGTCACGTGCTTTTGCGGGTATCTGTTTTACTGACACGAAGGAGTGAAGAGTTTTTAATTCAGGAAGACCCTATCCGCGATCAAGTCACAGCTCCAGTGCGTGTTTCTGCAGTTCGTGCGCCGACGCCGCCACCAGCGCATGCTCGTTGACTGCCTCGTCACGACCAAAATGCGCCCGCACCGCCAAGCATGGCGACACGTGTGCACCTCTTCCAGAACGTGCTCACAAGTCCAGCCTTCCAAAGCGCCATACGCAAACGACGAGAGGTGCACTGCATCCACACAACGCTCCACCAACTAGAAATTCGAATATGCATGCACTCGCTGTGGACACGCATGATCTGCGCCGTGTACCGCCGGCGCATGGATCGCGTTCTCGACGCTGTCGGCGTGGCCGTCACGACCAAGTCGAATTGGGACAGTTACTCGGCGACCGTGACAGCGGAATATCAGGTCGCGCTGGTCGACGACATGCATAGCGTGATTGATGGACATCATGGGTGGCTTTGATGAACAGTCATATACTAGTACCGTTCGTACGATTCCAAACGCAACAACCGTGCTTTTATACGTGGGATATTTGGACACGAACACATATGGTGTTACGAGAACATGCCACGTCATATCGTTGTACCACTTCAAGCATACCTGTCGATCCCATACTACTGCCAGGTACTCATGCCCTGTCGTCATGTTGATTGTAGCCTGGTCAGTAGCAACCAAGACCAACTGGCCACGATATGATGACTTGTGCCATCGCAGTTGTGGTTCCCAGGGGGTGGTAAATGATGTACAGTATGCTGCATGTACACTTATTGAACACGACGTACAGTACTTAGATGTCAAAGTCGCCCATGATGTCCAAGTAGCTATGCATGTCGTCATCCAGCGCGACCTGGTCTTCCTCCGTCACGGTCGCCCAGTACGCAATCCACGAAGCCTTGGTCGTGATGGCCACCATGACGGCATCCATTCGTCGTCGATACAGGCCATCGATCATCTTTGTCTTCAACCGTTCCATGGGGCCTCGAATGGCATGACTTTGGGTGGTCATAATGTTGATGCAATGTGCGTTACGTCGTTCTCCAATGGCGTCGTGGAAGGCTGGACTTGTGAGCACGTTGGTCACGAGCCGCCGCCGCCACATTTGGCGTCGAAGGTACTCGCACACGCATAGAAACGGCTTACGATGGCTTTGAATCTCGATCAGCGTGACTGTGGCTACGCAGTCGAGGATGACCGCGTACAGCCGCCTTCTCCACCTTCGCATGCGGAGAAACGCGCAAATGGCTACGTACAGCCGTCGGTACTTCGTCACTTGAATGCGAAGCACCATGGACACTAGCACCTGGCGTTGAAAGCGGCGGCGATACAGGTACCGCACAAACACTTGGCGGAGCCGCGCCTTGGCCGTAATGGGGGCTTGGCTGAATTTGAACCACATCAAGCCCCACGACCAGCTAAAGCCAAACTTGCAAAAGCAATACACGTAGTCGCACCCGTCGCCCTTGACAAGTGTGATCTGGCAGTTGGGGCATTGCCCCATGTCGTTGAGCATCATCGAGGCCTCGCACGACACCCCGTCGTGATGCTCTCGCGTTTTGCACGTAAAGCATAGCCTGGCATTGCAGCATGTCGACGTAATGAACGGATGTGACCGCATCATGCGAAGGAACAGCGAGGCGCGGCGCTCGACGTCTTGGACACGATGGGAAATGTACTGAAGAAGCTGGTCGTGGGAGGCGGATTGAATGTTAGGCCACAGCTCTGAAATCGTCAATTCGTAGCGACAGAATTGGGCCAATGCCTCTCGTTGGTCAAAACGAAGGCTGTCGTCGTACCCGCTCTGGTACTTGCAAGGAGGCAAGACGTTATTGATGGCGTGGCACGAAGGGCACAGGACATCGCACGACGCAGCGAGTTGCAGTTGGATGTTGTCGACTGTGTGAATACAGGCCTCGGAGGAGCCCACACTTCGCCATCGCTCGAACGCGACGGGAATCAAGCATATCGGACATGCGACCGTCGAAAGAACTCCGGCAGGAAGGGACTTTTGCTGGACCTCGAGGTACTCTTGGATGCAAGTGGAGCACACGATGGCAGGACAAGTTGGACCACACAGTGCTAACACCACCGTGTCCGACGCTTCCAAGCAGATCTGGCACGTCGACGTCGTCACGCACGAAGCTCCCTGAGCGGCCTCATCACGCAACTCAACGGGAGAAGCCACCGACTGCACCGCCATCTTCCTCTGAACGAGTAAAATTGACAATAATGGCAAAACCTTGGCAAGTAGATATAAACCAGCGACCGTCATTCGCACTACATTGGAATTTGTGGGATGGTCCACAGCCGTCGTACGGTCGCGAAATTGCTGATTTCTAATTGGTTAAGCTCTAGCTCGATTTTACGTAACGAACCAATCAAAGCCTCACAAAAGTAATTCGATTAGCCAATCCAGTCGATCGATTCCATGCTTCACCATCAAGTCTGACGCTATTTGACTGTTAACAGCGAGAGAGCCGTCGTCGACAGATATTGGCTCTCATAGCCACGAAAACAACCATCAATGTACATGACCACGCTGCGTCATAGCTGCTTCAACCACCATCTCTATTGCACCGTCTTCTTCCCACTGTGATGACGTTGCTCGCTGTTGCTTGACTAATCGTCTTGGTGAGTGCCCAGCATCTGGCCAGCTCAGCGGCCCAGTCCGCTTTTGGTGAATTCCCATGACACCGAGGACGTTGGGGGGCGTGGAGGCACGCACACACGGAGGGCTCCGACAGTTTGTATGGTGGACGTGGCGGATGCCATTCGTACCAAGGGGGCTTCCGTGGTGAAAATGGTGGCTACGGTGGATGGCGGCTACGGAGGGGTTGGTGGTGTACTATGAGGCCCCGCGAAGACATGCTGCTGTTGTAACTTGTGCCCACCAATGTCCTAGTTGATAATTACAATAACTCCACTTTTATTTCCAGCTGGACCCATTGGAAATACATGTGCCCCAAATTCTCGAGAGAACACCAAGTACATGCTACAGTGTGAAATTGCTCCGTGGTGGAGTCTGCATGATACACTTGCATTTCTTTATATTACTTCCTACTACTACTAGTACTACTACTGGGCTACCGATATATACTAGCATGTCCTCGCCATCGTGTGGCGTCAGGGCGCATGGACGGCCGACGTCACGCGACCCGCCAGCGCCTCCAAATTCTCACGAGCCACCGACAGAACGACGTGTCGAACGGCGCTTAGTCCCGCGTCGTCCACCGCCCCTCGGTCGCGGGCCACGTCCGTCGTCTACAAATCAGTCAACAAATCAGCCCATCCCTTATATTTCACAACTCCATACAGTGCATAAAGACAATGTGTTTCGATACACAACTTACTGTGTGCGCTATATGACCAACCACAGCCAGCGCCAGCCCATCCTCCACATGCTCGTCGTCCGTGGCGGTGCCAGCAACCACCTCGTGCAGCAACAAACTCAGCCCGCGACGACCCCATTGCCTATAAAGTCACCGTCATATTCCGCGATTCTTGGTTCCTAAATAAGCTTCAAGCACAATGCTCATACCGAAGGCTGGCTGCAAAATGCGAGGAAGAACTGGTGGCCAAGACCAGATCAGCCAGGGAAATGAACCAGGGCGTGTGCCTCGTCTCGTCCGTCCATACGCGACTGTTTTGATGCACGGCGCCCATTGCCTGTCGCTACGTACACAACTGTCAGTTCCCGCCAAATGAGTTGTATCACAATATATCTATCTATATAAATCAATATATATATATACATTGTGACGCAGATATATATCAATGTACCAGCAGCACATCGTACTGACGCGACGCTGCCTTGGCCCACGCTTTGACTCGTTTGCGCAACTGCAATGGCTCGACCTAGACACATATTAGTATAATATATATATCAAAATATAATATAAAACTATATATATGTATATCAAAATATAATATAAAACTATATATATATATATCAAAATATAATATAAAAGTATATATATATATCAAAATATAATATAAAAGTATATATATATATCAAAATATAATATAAAACTCATATATTCAGGGATATTTCTGGTCTCCAATGGTCTCTGGGATATTTCTGGTCTCCAAACATACAAGATAAAAAAAAGTATCAAAAGTGCTCGCCCAACTTACGTCGTTGTCTGCAAACCCCAACGCCGTTCGAAGCACGTGTCGCAATGGTTGGTGCACAATCTCGAGGAATTCGTCGGGCATCTCATGCAAGGGACGCGCGGCGTCCTGCGCCGACACGTAGAACGTCTGCATCTGTTGAAATACCTACAAATCAATGTGAGTCAAATCAAGATTTCGATCCCCCGACAAAAGAGTGAGTCACATCCACACACCGACGTACCACATCCATCAAAGCGGAGAGCGGAGTGGCGTCGGTTCCAAGAAGGGACGAGCGGGCGTCGCTAAGTGGAGCATGCGTTGATGGCGGCACTGGCGAGAAGGAACCAGCGGCAACTTGTTCCGCCGGTTGAGTCGTCGTCGTCACTCCTCGCACGGCGCTGCCCACTGCTTGCAACAGCGTCATCATGACGTTCATGGCGGACGGGTTGTTGTCGTGGTTCATCATGTGCACGACGGTCGTCGCCGTGTCGTTGTGGACGGCGTCTCGAACGGACGACACAAACTCTTCCAGCTGCTCGAGGAGGTTCAACGTGTCTGCGACAGAGTGCCGCGTCGCGGGATCGTTCGCCAGGTCCTCGGCCGGGTAAGCCAAGAGCGGGCGGAGCGTCTCCGCAACGGACGCGACTTGCCGAGACAGCGACACCACCGCGTTGATAAAGTCGTTGGAAGCATGTTCGTAGGGAGAAATCGACGACGAAGACGGAAGGGCGCGCGACATACGCTCCGCCGCTTGACGAAGCCGCGTGCCTTGTAGGGCAAGGGCGTTGACAGCCTGTTCTCTGGACAAAGACCGATGTCGACCACGCTGGATCGTCGGGGAAGCGGTAAATTCCACTGCCATCAACGCACGGGGTGCGTGTGTGTGGGGTTGCTGCTCCTGGTTTGTGGAACGAACGGCAAGGGGGTTGTCACGTGGGGTGGGCGTAGGTGGGAGTGACGACGGTTGAGCGGGCGATGACGACGTCGTGGTGGGTGTCGATCGAGGCGGGTTGACGACCACATGCACGGTGTCGCCGTCCATAAAGTTGTAGTTGTGCAGATGCATGTGATCCCGCATCACCTTGCCTTTGTAAATGAGGCGTTGTCTCTCCACGGCGGTGCCCGTGGGTCGCATGATTTGAGCTTTCAAGTCGGCGATGCTGATGCCGCGGTCCACAATCATGGCTATCGCTTCTTCGTCAATGAACTTGAGGTTCACGCGCATCGTCGTAGGCGGAGAAGCATCGACAGGCGCCGACATCGCGTTGGTTCGTCGGTTGTCTCGTCGCAAAATGGCAATCGTCGCTGAAGTACAATTGTCCGGATAAAGATTCCCACGTTCTGGAAATGTCTTTTTTTAAAAGAATTTAAAAATAATACGGCCAATTTTCATTTCATCATTGTATGTACGAATGGGCAACACATGTTTTAAATCCTTTTAAATACCCAACATGGACACGAACATCCGGATACTGACCAATTCCCATTCAAAATCTAGACAACCTTCTTGCTCTCTAGGGGAGAATTCGGCGTCAACGACGAAGCTGCGCCGCCTTCCATGTCCAAGCTGCCGAGGTTGATCATAGATGGTGTCTTGTGCGCGCGGAGAAAGCCGCTGAGGTCGTGCTCCGTGGTGATCGTCGGTGTCTCGGGGACAGGCTCGTCGTTTTCCTCGACACCTCCCTTCCCATGGCGCAAATGCATGTACGCCGACCAGTCCATCGGCGTGGATTCTGCCAAAGGACCAAGGAGTGATGCGTATTTCTTGACGAACATGCGCACTTCCATCTGCAGGCGTGCGCGGCGTTGCGGCAATTCGTCCTGTATTTTTCGGTACTTGGGTTGCAGTCGGTAGTACAACGGACGCAGCGTCTTGAGTTCGATGATCCCTGCTTCCACCTATGTACGTACAACCACATGAGTCCCCCCTTCATTGTTCTCATCAACCAAACAGTACCGATCGGACGCCAAAGTACGAAAATAGCGGGAACGAAGCGGTGAGGAGGAAAATGCTGCTCCAGCGCCAATCCGTGACGACGATCGCAAGGACCGCGTACGACAGCCACAGCGACGGCACGGCGACCATTGAGAACGAGATCTTCTTGGACAGGATCACGTCCCGCGCCGCGATCTTGACGTTCGACCCGGCGAGCGCCTTGGTCTGTTCTGCGCGCGCCACATACCGCGCGACTAAACCCACGGGTGCATTGAGCACGAAGGACGGGATCGACGCCAGCGCAAAGATGACGAGGCCGTAGATGGCGGACGCGAGCACATCGTGGAGGCTCCACCACGCGATGTGCGGCACCTGATGGTCCTTGAGTCCCATGAGGGTGAGGCTCTTGCGGTACTCGTCCAGCTTGAGGCCAAGCTGCGCGAGGTCATCCTGCGCGACGGTCACGTCCGACAGGACCTTGTAAGCCTCTGCGAACCGGCGGTTGAGATCCTGCGTGTCTTTGGGGGTGAGCTTGACGCCGGAGGGTTGCCACAGCCGTCTGGCGGTGTACACGAGCTGGAGGACGTTGTAGTCAGGCGCGGTCACAATCACGCTGCGCATGCCTTCCTCCACGGCGCTCAGGAACGCGTTGCACGCTTTGCGCTTGTCCGCCTTGTACTCGTCCATGTTTTCGTTGGTGACGGCGATGGGCGCGCCAAACTCGATCACGACGCGCCCACGGAACCGATGGCCGCGAAAGTAGTTGAGTCCGACGGGAACCACCGGCACCGTGATGTGGTACTGGTCCTTGGCACCGAACGCCATGAGCGCGACGCCGGCCTTGAGCGGCAGCAAGTCCGTCCGGTCGTGGGAACCGCCCTCGGGGAAGATGCCGACGCACTGGCCGCGCTTGAGCGCCGTGTACACCTCGGTGAAGGTCGTGCTCTGGTCGACCTTTTTGAAAATGCCAAACGCCGTCGCACTCGTGACGACGGCACCAGCGCGGTCGACGAGGGGAGATGCCAGCACGAGGTGCGTGTCGTCCAGGACGGTTTCGACCTTGACGGGGGCGCCAGAGTCCTTGACGACTTTGCCGTTCGCGCGCACTTGGTCGCCAGGGCCGATGTCGCGCGTGAACGACGTGCCTTCGCCCATAAGGACGTGTGACTCGGTGGAAGACGAGTCCATGTACACTCGCCCGACGCCCGTCACGACGGCGTCTTGTGGACGTACGATCGGCAGACACCCCATGGCCTTGGCAATGTGGCCGACCACGGGGAGCTTCATGGATTTTTCGGCCGTGAGGAAGCCGACCTAATGGAAAGATATCAACACAAAAATGAGTTGAAGGATGATAATGGGGAAATAAACCTTTCGGAACGAGTTCATCATGACGACAATGCCGTCGACGAACTGATTGGTGTGGTTCCCGGTAAAGATGACGGGTCCGTCGAGGGGAATGTTGTCCTTGCCGACGATTTCAATGCTCTTGAAGAAGATGGACAGCACGCTGTTGAGGAACACGCGAACGCAAAAGTAGATCACGTCCGACAAGTTGTGATACAGCACACCCACGAGCACGACAAAGTTCAGCCACCCGAAGATGGTGCTGTCCACGGCAAGGAAGCTCGAGATCGCCTTCACCGGACTACGTACGTGCCGCATGTCAGCACACACGGCATATCAAGGGAGGACGTACTTGAGGGCGTCCATGGACAACATCATGAGCAGCCACAGCACCGTCACCTGCACCGAGAAATCATTCAACCCACCCATGTTGCCGCCGCCGTCCAAGTCCAGCCTGGGCCTTCCACGGAGAAGTTTGAATTGACGCCAATTTCAAACCCATTCTAAATTCAAATGAACAGCCTTGGGAACTTTTCCTCCCACGAATCCCACTCCCGACGTGAGGGCCAGGGACATATAATAAATAGATCTTACAAATAACAAGGAAGATTAAAATATTCCAATATTATTTCAACGATGCAATCAATGACAAGGAAGGAAATTCCCATTTCTCGTTGCTTTGTTGGGATATTTCCTGTTCGACAAAAGTACCCGCAACCCTATCCCCCAGCCGCCAATCAAAATCGTGTTGAAGCAGCCGCAGCGCTCCCTAAGGCCGCGTAGCTCATGCTCCGTCCGTCCGTAGATTCCCACGAATGGATCTAAACGCCCTCCATCTACAGAGCACTCCTGCGATCCGTCTAGACAGACCCATGAAGTCTTCTCTTGCAGCACGGCACACACGTCGCTGCTTGCGTTCACATACATGTCCGACGGGTCCATGATGACGCACAACAACTGCGGTTGCACATGTCCATCCACACAAACAAGAATGCCGGCATACGCGTCTTCCGCGCAACTACTGTATGTATCTTTGATGTGCGTCGAATCTACTCGTATACTGGTTTACGTAGCCCACTGCATTATTGTTCATGATCGATCGATTCCTAGTCCTAATTGTGAAACGTTCGTCAGACATCCTTCCTACTGCTAGACACGTTTCTTCTCGTGTGTGGCGTTCCCCCCCTGCCTTGCGTCTTCGTCATCTCGTTCGTGCTTGACGTGGGTGTGCATGAAGGCGGCCCAGTCGACGGGCGCCGACGCCGCGAGCGGACCCAACTCGTGCGCGTACTTTTTCACAATCTGGCGCACTTCCTTTTGGAGGTGCATGCGTCGGAGGGGGAGTTCGTCCTGGATGCGCTTGGACTCGGGCCGCAGTCGGTTGAGCAGCGGGCGCAGCGTCCGCATCTCGACGATGCCAGCCTCGACGCTCCGCACGCCAAAGTACGAACACAACGGGAACGACAGGGTCACGAGCCCAATGTTGGACGCGCTCCAGTCCGTGAAGGCGAACATGAGCAGCGCGTACCCCAGCCACAGCACGGGCACCGCCACCACCGAAAACGAGATCTTCTTGGACAGAACCACGTCCCGCGCCGCGATCTTGACGTTCGAGCCGGCAAGTGCCTTGGTCTGCTCGGCCGCGGCGACGTACCGCGCGACTAAGCCCACGGGCGCATTCAGCACGAAGGACGGGATCGACGCCAGCGCAAAGATGACGGCGCCGTACATGGCGGACGCGAGCGCGTCGTGGACGGTGACGAATGCCACGTACGGCACCTGGTGGTCGGGGAGCCCGAGCTGCTTGAGCGTGCGCCGGTACTCGCCGAGCTTGGCGGCGAGACTCGCCACGTCCGGCTTGTCCTGGAGGATCTTGTAGCCTTCCGCGAACCGGCGGTTGAGGTCCTGCGTAACCTTGGGGCTCCACTTGATGCCGGCCTGCTGGTACAGCCGTCGGGCAGTGTACACGCCCTGGAGGACGTTGTGGTCGGGCGTCGCTACGATCACACTGCGCATGCCATCTTGGACTTCGTTGAGGAGGGCGTTGCATGCCTTGCGCTTGTCCGCGTTGTACTCGTCCAGCTTGTCGTTGGTGACTGTGATGGGCGTGCCAAACTCGACGACCACGCGGCCGCGAAACTTGTGGCCGCGAAAGTAGTTGAGTCCGACGGGAACGATTGGCACGGTCAGGTTGAGGCTCTGCTTGGCGCTGAACGCCATGAGCGCGACGCCGGCCTTGAGCGGCAGCAGGTCCGTCCGGTCGTGGGACCCGCCCTCGGGGAAAATGCCGACGCACTGGCCGCGCTGGAGCGCTTTGTTGACTTCGGATAGCGATGCCGTTTGGTTGACCTTTTTGAAAATGCCAAAGGTCGCGGGGGAAGTGCCAAGGACGTTGCCGTGCATGTCGGCAAGCGGCGCCGACAGGACGGCGTGCGTGTCGTCGACGACCGAAGCCACCCTCACGGGCTCGCCAGAGTCCTTGACCGTCGTTCCGTTGGCGCGGACTTGGTCGCCGGCGCTCAATTGGGTCGTGAAGTGCGTGTCTTGACCGATGAGGACGAACGACCCGGGCGGCGCCGCGTCGTCCATGAGCACGGTCCCTTTGCCCTGGATGACTTCGTCTTGGGGACGCGTGAATGGAATGCACCCCACGGCCTTGGCGAGCGATCCGATGACGGGACGATGCATGGATTTCTCAGCAATGATGAACCCTACCTAGACGTGGACGATGAGACAGACTGGTGATGCGTCTACAAGATAGATGCGGTGTGGCGTGATAGACGGACGGTACCTTTCGGTAGCAATTCATGAGCACAATCAAGCCGTCGACGAATTGGTTGGAATGGTTTCCCGTGAAAATGACGGGCCCGTCGAGGGGAATGTTGTCTTTGCCGACGATTTCAATGCTCTTGAAGAAGATCGAGGTGATGCTCGTAAGAAACACGCGGATGCAAAAGTACAGCACGTCCGACGCGTTGCTGTACAGCAACCCGAGGAGAAGCAAGATGTGCAGCCATCCAACGACGGACGGATCGACGCCGACAATCGTACACACGGCTTTCACTGGACTATAGAGATTACAACAAATTAGTCAAACAACGACAGCAAGACCATTCCAGACGTACTTGATGGCGTCCATGGAGAGCATGACAACGAGCACGATCGCAATGATCTGCTGATGAAGATCGTGGAGGCCAAACATGTCCAAGGCGGCGCGGCGACAGACGTCGTGAAGGTTGGCGCGTCGATAAATGGAGAATGGAAAGTGGGGATATTCGTCCATGGGTATTCGCGTTATCCGGATAACTGCTTTCCAAAATTTCAAACTCATACTGTACATGTACATGCAGGCTTCCGAAATAATATATTTATTGCGACTATCTAAAATGCCGCCTCAGCCAATAGATTTCACGATATTCGACGACCTCGATAATAAATAATTGTTTTCTAATGCAACATATCGATAATTGTTCAAATACTGTAGTATATTATTACATGAGGGAGTAAACATTCCAATACGATGTATTCGCGCGAAGGAATATGATCATCTCGAAATTCACCGGATGCATGTGCTTTCTATGGTCTGTCAAGATGTACTTCGCGACGCTGAAGAGCCGTTCGACCAAGTTGCTCGTTGGAAGGACAAACTTCAAGCAGCAGTACTTGCTTGCTGTTGGTCCCATTCGGCGACGTTTTGGAGCCAAAAGTTCGTCCGCGTAGCTCAACGGCGTGCTGGGTTCTGCAACACTGTCAGGGTCCAACAGGAACATGACCAATGCAGCCTTCTCAGCAGTAGTCAGCTCGTCTTCGCGTAACGACAACACCTTCGCCACACCATTGTCAAAGTTAGGATAGTGGTGGATCTCCGCGTTCAAAGCCAGATATGGCAACGTTGGGTGTCGACAGTGTAGTCCATGAAACATGGTCCTTGCATCCGCCATGTCAAGATCTTCCACTTGGAGTTGTTTTGTCACGCTTTCGAATTGCTCAAGCACAAAGAAGAGCTTTTTCACACGAGTATTCTGTCCGCTGAGCAACAACAGATCTCTCACCCCTGAGACCTCCGGTAAAAATGGTAACAGCGCTAGATAGCGTTGGACCATTTGAAATGTCGATGACCACCGCGTTACGTTTCGACAAATTGGCAATAAGTCAGTGAAGCGCGTAAGTTCACCAGCTGGGCGGAGTCGACCAAGCCTCTTCATGATTGCGTGTATGGATAACAGGTCGCTTTCGTACGGCAACAAGAATGCCTTCATGGCCAAGTTGAATTTGTGCGAGTAGCACCCGACAAGAGGAACGCCCATTTTAGTCGCCATAGAGACGTTGGTAGAACAATTGTCGCCAGTGACAAAGGCGAGATTTGACAGCTCTTTGCCATAGAGGCCAAGTGTTTCCTCGATGAAAGCGATGTGAGCGTCGGCATCCATGCTGTCGGGCGTCAAGAGAGGCGACATTGCGAGCAGAGGTGTATGGCGCACATTGGCCACAGCGTACGTTGCGAAGATCGCGCAAAAGTGCTTCGAGCCGTCGGTCCACCCGTCAATACAAAGCCCAAAGACATCGGGGAGTTCTGCAGCGATTTTGGCCTCCACATTACGTGTGACCTTGTCCATAGCAGCCTTTAACGTCTTAACGCAAATGGGGGTCAGCCGTGACATATTGCGTGTTAAGGGGTTCTCAACCTCCGAAAAGGGTTGGTTGCGCTCAACAATCCACTGCACCCAGGCGTGCAGGTTGGTCGCCTTGGCGTCGACAAAACCATGCTGGTGAAGTGTCCCCACGAGCAGTGCCTGCGAGGCCTCGAATTGGGCAAGGTAGTCGGGGTGTTTTTTATCGAGGTGGCTCGTCAAGTTGGAGTACCCAGCTGATTTTGCTTTTGTTCGCTTGGTTCCACACACCTTGCACTTGAACGTTGTGTCGTCGAGAGCGACGAAGTAGAAGGAACAGAGCTGCTTTGTAGTGTGTTCCATAAGTGTAAATGTCGAATGGGGATAATTGGACGAAATTTGAAAATAGATTATCGATATCTACCGACACCGAAAATAGATAATTAGATCCAACGTCACATAAGAAATAGATTATTTTTGCTATCTTATCTAGATTATTATCTCAAAGATATATTATGTCCGAAGCCTGACATGTAGCAATGCTCGGAAGTGTAGCGGTGGATGGGCATGCAGGGCGGTGATGAGTATAGCAAAGAAGGACGCAATGCTACAAGGAAGGCTATGGAATGGTCGATAGAGAAATCCATCGGCTAGCCCATCCCGACCATGTAGCATGCATGCTAGTTACATGATGATACGTGCAAGGGATAAGCCAGCGAGCCTTGTTGACTCGACAACGTTGTTTGGTCAACGGGCAGTCACATCTACGTATACACTCGTCGCAATCAACACGCGACTCTTTGACGAGAACACATGCTGTACGCATGAGACTTCCAAGACCCGCGTCCTTTCAAGTGCCAGTTGCTGCGCCAGTTGCTGCGTTGGCGTTACACGCAACCACGACCAAGTCTCGAGAGGTCTCTACACTACCTACAGACAGATACATGAGCAGTACGTCTGTATTCTGTGTACGCAATATCGCCCCTAGAGCGACGGTTGCGTAATGTACTAAATGGCGTGCCTAAGAATAGATCGCACGGTGGGAAGTGTCGTTTCGCGTAGGAACCCCCACCAAACCTCGTCTCCTCCTCATCATGGACGAAGACATCAAGTGGGTGGACAACGTCATCGCCAAGCTGCTGCGTGTGCAGGACAAGCCCGTGCAGACCGAAGTGACCGACCTGGACATTGACGAGATCAACGCGTTGTGTCGGTGCTGTCGCTCCGTGCGTACCGACCTTCCTCATGTCGTCATCCATACATTCATCATCCTTGTGATGCCGAACCCCGTAGATCTTTCTCTGCCAGCCCATGCTGCTCGAACTGAACGCACCCATCAACATTTGCGGCGACACCCACGGCCAGTACGCGGACCTGCTGCGGCTGTTTGAGATCGGCGGGTTTCCAGATGACAAAAACTACTTGTTCCTGGGAGACTACGTGGACCGCGCCATGCAAAGCATCGAGACGATCTGCCTGCTCTTTGCGTACAAGGTTAAGTACCCGACGCGGATGTCGCTCCTGCGCGGCAACCACGAGTGCGCGTCCATCAATCGGATATACGGTAACCTTCCCCAAACCAACCAAGCATACTGGTGGTGACAATGAACAGGGTTTTACGACGAGTGCAAGCGCCGGTTCAACGTCAAGCTATGGCGGACGTTTGCCGATTGTTTCAACTGCATGCCCGTGGCCGCGGTCGTGGCGGACAAGGTTCGTCCGCTGCGCGCATGTATACGCATAATGGAGACCATGGAGATAGATCTTTTGCATGCACGGCGGGTTGTCGCCCGATTTGTACAAGATGGACCAGATCAAAAACATCCGCCGGCCGACCGACATTCCGGACGAGGGGCTGCTGTGCGACCTCCTGTGGGCGGATCCGGACGCCGAGAGCCACGGGTGGACCGAGAGCGACCGCGGCGTGTCCTACATCTTTGGCGCGGACGTCGTCGAGCAGTTTCTCGAGACGCACGACCTCGACCTCGTCTGCCGCGCGCACCAAGTTCGTCTCTCCATTAGGTTCGATTGTGACCAGTGCGGAATGTAGGTCGTGTCGGACGGGTACGAGTTCTTTGCTGGCCGCAAACTCGTGACGATCTTCTCGGCGCCCAACTATTGCAACGAATTCGACAACGCCGGCGGGATGCTGGTCGTGGACGACAAGCTCTTGTGCTCGTTCAAGGTGCTGTGCTCGCAGGAAGGCTAACCAGCCACATTCCGAAGCTCCCGTCGTCGTCTGTGCGTCCAACAGAATAGTATCGCCATTCGTATAACACACCATAACGTCACCCCCGCTCATGCCAACAGATCACCAACCATCCTGCATCGTGCAGTATACATGTGGTCGTGGCCTGCTCACTGAGCAGTGTTCGGTCGTAACATCATCTCCCATCAAATCGCCCCCTAAGCCAAGACACAAGCATCCTGCGTATGTCTGTCCTACGACCATCATCGCAGCTACATATCCCACACATGTTCCCACATGACTCTCAATTAGTCGCACATTTTGCCAAGTCGATTCGAAATTGCTCAATCGAGTGACCAGTATAACCAAATCGACAGACACTCGAATGACCAATCAAAACCCAGAGCACATATCAAGTGGCCAATCAAAACTAATCTTCGGCCAATACAACACACCGAGATAGTGTGTGACTGAAATTAGTGTTCCTTAGTATGGACTACCGGTTACTACTGTATTATACCGTATAGTGTATATGCATTGCGACGGATTAATCTATTGCGACACCTGTAATAACTGATTACTTTCTTGTAATAACTGATATTTACTTGTGACTATCCTTCAAATTTGTATGACGCAATGGAGTAACAAAATTTTGAGAACGAGTGTCGGCTGGTTGTGAAATATCACCTGTCGCAATACATATACACTATACGGTAGTACCACGTTTTCTATTATAATATTTTCCTACGAATAATAATGCGGCGAGATCAAGCTGTCTTGGATCGCATCGAGCTGCGACGGTGTAAACGCGAGCTTGTCTTGGTGCCAGCTGTCTTGGTGTGTACGCTTGAACTCGAGCAGCACCGCCTTGACCATCTCGGGCACATTGGAGAGGCGGCCCTTGCCGGTCACATGCAGGTGCAGCGACAGCTCCTCCACCACCGCGGGTACGAACGCCGGCACCGAGTACGGGTACGCCAGCACGAGTGCGCCCATGCCGTAGCACCCGTCCACCGTGCGCGCATCCATGGCCATCTCGTCAGTGGCTCCTTCCAGCGCCTCGAGTGCCTTGGCCGAGACTTCCCAGTCGGGGCCGCGGCGGGCTACGAGGATGCGGTGCCGCTTGAGCTGCTTTTGTTTGGTCGCGCGGGCTTTGCGCGCCGCCGCCACCGATTCGCGGAACGTCGTCGCGAGGGAGGCGACGTCCTCGTCGTCCAGCGTCCGGACGAAGCTCCGGAGGGCGTACTGCGCAGTCTCCTGAACGTCGCGCTTGTCGTCCGCCAAGCAGGACACGATCAGCCGCTGGAGCCGCGGCTTAGACCAGCGCCGCAGTCCATGGTGAAAGTTGAGCACCGTGATGAACCGGAGCGCAGCCCCCCGCGTACGCCACGACGCCACCAAAGCGGCCTCGAGTCCCGTCAGCACCGCCGTAAACGTGTCTTCGTGTTGGACGCGGAGTTTATTGGCAAGCGCGTCCACTACCGCGCGCGCCGATCGCGCTACGTCCGGATCCGGGTACGACTGCGTGTCCAACACGACCGACAGCAACGGGAGGACGGCGGCGGACACGTGCGCCGAGTCGCCCTTGTGGATGTACGTGGCTATCACATGGAGCAGCGTCTTGCGCGCATTCAGTTCGGCAGGCTCCACGACGCCCGTCGCCGCCGCCACCCCATCCGTCATCCCCTGGACGAGCTTTTCCAACATGGAAGAAGTAGAAGCAAGTACGAGCTTGTACAGCACCGCGCCGACTTGTTCTCTAACCGACTCGTACGGGTGCGAGAGGCCCGCAGCCGCGACCGTCCACATGCGCGCGAGCACACTGGGCGTCGCCAGTGCGGGCGGGAGTAGCAGCAGCGGCTGCACCAGCATCAACCACCGCACTTGGCCGACGCCATCCGTCGAGTTCCCGTCGGCGGCATCCCCCGACTGAAACGACACCTCCACCTGACTCAGCACGTACTCGATGAGATCGGGTACCCATGGCAACGTCGGAACGTGATGTGTGAGCAGCAGCACCACGTCGTGCCAGTCGGTCGCGTACGGAACGCTCAGTTTAGGCAGAATCGTCTGCAGCCACCCGAGCCCAAACGAAGAAGTCGATGACGTGGCCAATCCCACGAGGATCTCGCCGGCCGTGCACAGCGCCGCGCGGCGTTCGTCGGACGTGTTCGCCACGAGTGTGTCGAGGGGCCACCGCGCCGCGAGGTCGATGCCTTGGGCCGCGGCATGTCGCGCCAGTCGCTGCACCAGCATCACATGATGGCGAAGGATATTGTCCTTGGCCAGCTGGCCAAACGATGTCGCATATAAGGGCGGAAACCGCTCGTGTTGCACCAGTTCAAACAGTTCGCCGACGCCAAGCGACCACCGCGCCGTGTCAGCGTGTCCGTCGGCGGTAACACTCTTGTGGTTGGCAACCATGTCCTTAGCCAGCGCCTGCAACGTATCGGGGGCAAACACGAGCTCGGGCACGGGCTCGCCTTGTCCTATCGTCGTTGCTTTCAACAGGCGCGAGAGTAAAATCCGTCCAAAGTGCTGCAGCTGCGGCACGTCGCTCCGCACAGCCCCGAGCACCACGGGCCAAATCAGGCGCCGATTCACGTCGGCCGTCTTGTCTTGGCGAATCCACGGCAATAAGCAGGCCAAGTGCATGAGCTGATGGCGCCAGTGCGACTGTTGCATCTCGAGCGAGACCAATGGCTCGATGCCGACGGTCCGGGCGTCCGCGGCGTCGCGCCGCGTGTGCAGAACCAGGAAAAACACTTTTAGCGCGCGGGTTTGCGTCTTGATCTGGTCGTCGGGGCTCCACTGGCGAAGTTTCGGCTCGCTCGCATGACACAGTGCGACCAGGAGCTGCTGCATGACACTCCAGCGCCGCCACACCGTGTGCAGCGACCGCCCCAGCTGCAGAACATGCAGCGCCCCCGTCACCTGGTCCTTGTTGGTTGATGTGTGCACCACTTGTATGAGGAACGGCAGCCGTGCCTCGAGCCACGGACTGTACCGCGCGAGCACGCCGCCATCGAGGGCTGCTTGGGCCACCTGGCGGGTCTTGGAGTCGTCGGCAAGGGCGAGGGTCAGCAGGTCGTTCAAGCTACCGACCACCACGTCGGCGTACAGATCCGGCGTGGCAAACCAGTCGGGATGCGATCGGATCGCGCGACTCCACTCGAAGCTTCCTGTGGTCAAGAGGGCCGAACACAGCACCTGCACGCGGTCTTGCATCATCCGCCGCGGCCACAGCGGAATCGACGCCAGCGTTTTGGGTTTCTTGAGATGGAGCGCGGCCGACGCCACGTCCCGCGCGCTCAGTTTGCGCCATTTTGCATACAGGTGGGTATTGGCTGGCGGGGCGGCGTCGCGCGGATGCAGCAGCGGCGACAGGATGCGGACAATGTAGCGCAGACCCTTGGTCCGGCGCGGGTCTTCTACCACCATCGACGCATCGGTCCAAATCGCTGCGACGCGGTGGAGGGTCTGTAGCAGGTTTACACGCAGCGCCAAGAGCGAGTCGATCACTGCGGGGTGACGCGCCAACGTCGACTCGATGGCTTCGATCGGTTGCATCAGCATCGGCGAAGGGCCATCCGATGTAGTCTTAGTTTTAACAACAAGGCGATCCCACAAGATGCCTTTGGCCCCGCGGACGGCGTGCAAAATACCCCGCAACGCTGTGCGCCATGTCATGGTCGAGTTGGTGTCATCCGGTGTCCCAACTAGCAACGCGGTACCCGCCTCCACGACAAACACATCGAGCAAGTCGGCGGCAAACAAGAGCTCGGCCTCGGACGGTTCATGCCACACCAGGCCCACATCGCCCCATGAACTGGTCACGCCAATATACAAACTCGACAACCCGCCGCACTCGACGCCGTCCGTCCACGCGGCGGGCGGCAGCGACCGCGAATGGTCCGGCTGGTACGTACTCGTGAGCCGAGTCAGTGTGTGCCGCAGGATTTTGCAGCCCACTTTGACCACCTTTGGGTTGCGGTGGCCGGTTGCAACCGCCAACACGCGGCGAAGCAGCGCGCTGTGGGGTACCAAGGATGTGCCGGTGGCGCGTTGGACGACGCCGTCCACGACTCGGAGGTGGCTGAGTAGGTGCGCGTCCCCGGGGGTCGTCGTCGGGTGGACAACCGCGGCGGCTGCCGGCAGCAGCAGCTTTTGAATCGCGAGCTCCGGATCCGGGCCCGAGGCGGCGCGCACGAGGCCGGCGACGGCCTTGCCAGGAACAAGGCCCATCGATGACGACTGTACAAAATCGACGACGCGCTGCAGCGCTAGCTTGTACAGCGGCGGCGACAGCTGCACAAACAACTGATGCAGCACCAATTGCGTATGCAGTGCAATCTGAAACGTATCGCCGCCCTTGTCACCGTTGGCACTGCTCGACTCGGTTTCCTGCTGGCGAAACAGCGAAAACAATCGGTCCAGTAGCACTAGTACCCATGTCTCGAGACTCGACCCAAGGCGCCACAACGCGTCGACGGAGGCGGGAGAGGCGGTGGGTCGTGGGGCATACAGCTGGGCGTTCGCGGCACTTGTCAGCGCCGCTGCCACGTCACTCGACGCCCGCGCAGGACGCCACGTGTCGTCCGCCACCGGCATGTACATGAGCCACACGCTGTACAGCTGCAGCGTCCGACTCGTCTTGGCGTCATCATTCGGGTCGATGCCCGGGAGCGTCCACTGCAGAATCAGCGGCAGGTACGGGTCTGTCCATGAGAGGTCGCCGCGGAGAAGCGCGGGGCCGCACACGGTGAGTGCCGAGATGGCGCTGGGTGCTTGGTGGGTCTGGTTGACCGCGGACGGATCGAGTCCATGAAGGATTCTCTCCACGATGGACGGCGCCGCGGACGGCAGGATGGCGATGGCGTTGCGCAGGGTAAAGCTGGCTTTCGAAGACACGCTTTGGCTCTTGGCGTACAAGCCAAGGAAGCTCAGGTCGACGAGTTTTGTTACAAGCGATGTATGGGGAAGCAGGGATCGATGGAGTGCCTTATCGCGTCCAAGGCGGAGCGAGAGGAACGCAGATACATAGTAGACAAAGTCGGAGATGGCGCTGGCGGCGTTGCCGGCGCTCGACGGGTGGTAGAACGGGGTGAGTAGGCTGAGCAACTGCTGGAGCAACGTGTGGGTGGTTTGCGATGCCTCAAGCAACTCGACAGTCAACTTGGATGCGTAGTACAATGAGGATTTGTCCCCGTGCCACCCACCCAAGACGGTGGGAAATTTCCCTTTGGATGGCGTCGCGCCCAAGTCGGACGGGAGGTTGAACGCTTGCTGGATCTTGGACAGTATAAACTCCAAGTGCGGCGCCCACTGGGAGATGTCGAACGTCTCGCGGCGCTGCTGGTGCTTCACAACGCGCGCAAACAGCCGCAGCCAGTGGAAGTCCCATTCCGAGAACGAATTGACGCTCCCCCACAGCGTGATCCAGGGGCCGACGAGCGCCGACGCGTCGGCGCCGGCAGGCCAGAGCAACGACAGCTGCGCGGCAGCTTTCAAGCTCGCTTCTTCGTTCGGGCGCGCAAAATCAGCACTCAGGTGTGTCCAGAGCGACGCATCGAGTGCGTAGTGTGGACGCGCTTTGGCGAGGAACTTGAGCAGTGCCGCCTTGTACTGGGAAACGTACTCGTCGGCCGCGTTGTGGAGCGGCAATGGAGAGGCGTAAAAGTTGGCTTCCCATTCATCCAAGGGAGTATGCCAATCGACCTTGGCTTGCTCGGAAGCGTCCGAGAACGCTTTCCGCGTCTTCTTGAGCACCAACATGATGGTGTTCAACGCCTTCACGCGCTTCTCCAAGGCTGGACGGAACGAAAACACGTACTGTATTAGTCCATGGCTGAGGCTCACGGACAGCGCATGCGGCAGCGTGTACTTGAGCTTGAAATACGTTTCCACGGTGCGGAAGTGGTGCCCCGCCAACTTGTCGAAGTGACCTCCTTGCAACAGCGTGTGGAATTCCTAGGGAGCCATGTCGTGAGTTCGAGAGATATCCTCATGCATGATGGAGGGGACTGTACTTGGATGTCACGCAACAGGAACTGCTCTTGAGCATCCACTTTACTGCGCACATGCTCTGGCAACAAGGACGCGTACACGTGCATGATGGATGTTGCAGACCAATCCAAACGTGAAAATGCTCACTCTGGGGATGAACGGCTGATTTAAAGAACTGTGTCTTTTTATCCGGAGTGTTGGTTAAAACACCTGATCTATGAGTGATGACGCGGATCATCACCCCAGTATTCGAGAACGAATTCGTCGACGGCTTCCATGGATTTGGCTTTTAATGAATGTTTGTAAATTCAGAATTTTACTGTACGGATAAACTATCGCTCCCATTGTCCTTGATCTTTTTTCAGCATGGGATTCATCGATGTGTTGCGGTCGAGTCTCAACAAGCGTCCAGCGAAGCTCATTGCGTCGCCCAAGGTAGAGTCCACTTAAAGACGCACGCGATGCACACGTTCCTACTCGTAGCGCGCGAGCGTCGCAGCAATATTCCGCCATTCTCCATTAGATCCACGTGGTACACGCTTCGTCCCAATCTAAACGTCGTGATGGATCGCGTGCCTTGACATGGTACTGTACCGATCGTAGACAAAGTGCAGCTGTTGTATATTCGACGAAAGGTAAATCCACGGGATACATGGAGCGGCCACATGGCGTTTCCTGGCGGACGAACGAACGAAGGCGAGGCCGACTTGGCCGCGGCAATCCGTGAGACGCATGAAGAAATCGGTCTCCATCTCAACGAAACCCACGTCGTGGGACGTCTGAATGATCGACCGGTGTATTATGGTCGCACGGTAGCCGCTCCATTTGGTAAGTTCTAGTCTGCATATCTGCATATTCGTCGTTGTTGACTGCGCCGATGCATGTACTTTAGTCTTCCTTCTCGGTCGTGACGATGCTGCCTTTGAACCTGTCCTTCAAGCGAAGGAAGTGTCCGACGTGCTCTGGGTTGACCTCGACTTCCTTGTGACCGCGCCAATCCAAACGCTGCAGATTCCGACCAAATACATCTTGCCTAATGTCGACGATATTCCTGCGACTGTGGATGAGGTCAGAACGGTGTCCATATTCGTGCCTTCGGGACGCCATTGTAGGCCCAACGAGACTCGTTGAAGGCGATGACACATATCAACTTTCCATGCATCTACTTGGATCGCCCTGAACGTCGTGTCCATGGGCTTCCAGATGATGCAGTCGCCCGACCAGTGCACGACTTTGTTCTGTGGGGCTTGACGTACAACATGACGTCGGACATATTGAAGGCAGGAGGACACAAAGCTCTTCCATCCATGTCGGCAGCGGTGCGATCCGTTCGAGAAGCCGTGTTCATGGATAAGATGGCCAAAAGTAACCTGTAACATGCCGTTCACGTGGGGAACCGACGAATGCCGTTGACAGAATGTATCAAGCGACAAGTTTCCTCATGTGTTCTCCCCGCCACAATTGACCTGCATCTCCTTAGCCCCATGCATGAAAGGCGGCACGTGATTGAAATATTGGCCGTATTGCAGTTACATTTTTGAAGCCATGGTATCCGGATTGTGTTTTTTGAATGTACAACAATAGAATTCCGTTATAACAAGTTTTGACCATCCTAGTAGCCAATTAGATTGGCTTATTTGCAAGTAATTTACTATTTTAGACCAATCCAATAGTAAAACCACTCCTGTCCGAATTTATCCGGATAGAGAAGCATTGCGATCTTTTAGTGACTCAGAAATCACTTTGGCGGCAGTAAGTAGCAGGAACACCATCGCCCCGATGGAGATTGACGACGACATTCTCGAGATGTGGACGGTCGAGGGACCGAGCAAGAGCAAGGTCTTCATTGACCACGTCAAAGCGCCACCCGATCAGGACATGCCATCATCATTCTCCAAGCAAGTGACGACGAGCGTGACCGTGCATCCCGACATGTTGCGTCTTCGCGCAGTCTACCTCCAGGAGCATCAACTCTTGGTGGGTGAAATGACCTCACTTGGTCAGGATGTGGATCGACAGCGACGAGATCTGGACATCGAGGAGCTGTATATGGACCAAGTGTTACAGCAACCTGTCACATGCAGTGAGCACGAACAATCTGTCCGGGACCTTCAAGAGCGACTTGCCAACAAGCGACGAAGTCACAAGGTAGTTGATTCCTTTCGTGGATTGAAAGCTAACCGTGCGCATGTAGGCAGCAAAGATTCGGTTCCTTCAGCTCAAACGGAACGTGTTGTTGCAGCATCGTACGTGTTCGAGTGAGATTCCATCGATCTAAGTTACACATATGCTTTAGAGTCCGAGTTCGCGACTCTGCCGTGTCTCAACGGCACGCTGCAACTACGACGTCTCTTGGGTCGCGGGGCGTCGTCGGAGGTGTGGCAGGCCCACTGCTTCTCCACAGACTCGTTGGTGGCCGTGAAGCTAAGCGCCAACATCCAAAACGCCACCGTCGAGTTCGACAACCACAAGGTAGCTCGCCATCCCACCTTCGTACCATGTCACATAACGCTGTCGTAGCTCGTGACGGCGCACTCGAGTCGATACGCCGTGCCAGTGCACACCCTCGCACATACCACGTTTCACCAACGCGAGTACGCCATCATGACCATGGACTGCATGAACTGCGACTTGGCCCATTACCTAGAGGTATGTTCAACATACAGTATCCCATGACGTGGCTCAATCGTGTGAACGCATATACTCCCAGACGAATGGCCCGTGCGCGCCGCTCCTCGCTCGACACATTCTGCATCAGCTCGCGCTAGCCACGACCTACATGCACGAGGTCGGTCGGACATCTCTATCTCAGTATCTCATGTGCTTCCTTGTAGAACAACATGGCCCACGGAGACTTGAAGCCCGGCAACGTGTTAGTCAAAGACGTGTCGGCTGTGACCGTCCAGCTCACCGACTTCCATCTCGCCCGACCAAGATACGATCCGATTGATGTGGGGGTGAACGCGTCGCCGAGCTACGCGCCCCCCGAATGGTACCTGCTGCCGACGACAGCCGACAGCTGCGAGGCCGGTACGACGTACGAAAAGGCAGACGTGTGGGCCCTCGGCGTGATCTACTACCAAAGCCTCTTCACGCGGCACCCCATGGGGTCGTTTTCGTCGAAACACGAGCTCCAGCACAACATGCGCTTGTATTCGAGTTCACATCCAACCTCAACCTCCTCCCTTCACTTTCCCACGGCGATCCCTGCCATGGACATGGTAATGTGCTGCTGGTGCTGTTGCATCTCTCGTCATCTCACATGGGCGCATATGGGCTAGGTTATCTTGGCCCGATGCCTCCATCCAGATTGGACAGCACGACCCACAGCCATGGAACTGCTAGCAATGCTATCACAGCTCACATGACCATAGAAGTACAGATACAGTATACAGTAGTATGGGCACAGTTCCGTGACAACTTGGTTCCGTGCCACGATGCATGATTGGCAGAAAACAATCACTCTGAAATTTTCAGCCAATCAGATGCAATTTTTGACCGATAACTCGGAACTGTTTTCAGCCTAACGTTAACCGATATTCCACTCTTTTAAGTCATTTTCGGATATTCCACTCTTTTAAGGCATTTTCCATCAACACTAATACGACTTTCGACATGATTTTAAGTTCTACGAACTGCATTAATTCTCCTCTTTAAGAAACACTATTATAATAGCAATTTGGAGTAAAGAACCCCTCCATCGAAGGTCCCAAAAAGTGTCAGGGAACAGCGCCCATACCTAGATTGTCAAGTCGATTCGGAATTGGAGTGGGGTGCTCAATCGAATGAGCAGAATAAGTCGGCGCTACTATTAATACGTCGACAAGACTCACAGTACCACACTTAACACACCCGTACATAACATACACACACTGTACCAGTACAGCAAGTACATAGTATTGTCCTTTTACCCAAAATTTGGACATTTGGGCTGATTCACCAAATCTATCGATCGATTCTTTGTCCTGACTTTGTACGTAAAGATCGTCGGGTATCACACTAATTCTAGTCACACACTAATTCGGTGCTGAATTGGTCGAAGTGTGAAATTGATTGTTTAGTGATCTGGGTTTTGATTGGTCGATCTTTGATTGTCTGCCGACTGATTTGGTCCCAGTCATTGTGAAATATATACTACAACATACGTAGTACTATTAATAGTATGTTTTACGAAATATATCTGCCGGATACAATTGGAGATACGAAACACGAAATTTCATAAACCCAGATAGTGGATATATTTTGATTTGATATTTGTATGCCAAAATTATATCCAGAGATATAAAGGATTTTACGAAATCGAGTATCCGGACGCAGTTTCAGATTCTTTATGTCGACTAGTCCATCAACTCTGACAGGCCGGGACAGTGGTCGCTTTATACGAGGAATTCCCTGCTGCAGGTCCAAAACTACCTGTTCTCGGGGAATTTGAATAACGCCGGATAAACATCGGGATACGTAAATTCTTGCACATTAGTTGCACAGATCAGTAGAGTAGAATTTCACACCAAGGGGATCCACAGCCACAGAATTTATCCGTACTTAACTTGAGCTTAACCGGTGTCGTTGTTGATCAATCACTTCGTTTTTTATCTTCACATGACATCGTTTGTTTCGCATGAGTATTTGCTACTTGCAATGGAGATGCATTTCACGGAGGACACTGCCACCTCCGACGACTACATTGTCGGTAGCGTGATCAACAATGTGAAGGTTCATGATTTTGGAAGTTTCGTGTTGCTGCGTGAGAGATTAAATGTATTTTCTTTGAAACAAGGCTTTCGTGTAGCACATAAGTATCGTAACAAAATCACTGGAAAGTGGGTTTGTTGTAACGAGGATTGTGATTTTGCAGTTCGAGCGTCAATGCGTGTGGACAAGTCTGTTTCTATAACTACCATGAACTTG